AGCATAAAAATAAAGAAGAAAAATTGAAAAGTTTTTCTGTACACTGTAGGTTTTTTTCAAACTGTGGGTCCTGATGCTTAAGTGGGTCGTGAGATAGATAAAATGAGTCGTGACAAAAGAAAGAAAGACTGAAAGAAAAAATGCTAGTGAGAGCAAAGTGCAGAATATAAACAACCCTAAATGTTACCAACACTCATAAATAATTTCTAGATTTTCACCGAAGTAAGTTCGTATTATATTTTATTTTTTAATATATATATAGATATAGTGTTGAATTCAAAGTTCACTTTTATATTCATATGTACATACGCTCTATCTTTCATATTGAGCACTTTATCCCATAAATATAGCACACCTTAAAAATATATATATATATATATATATATATATATATATATATATATAATTGATTATTGACTTTATCTTTTGTCTCGGAATATATATATATATATATATATATATAGAGAGAGAGAGAGAGAGAGAGATCTATATATAGAGAGAGAGAGAGAGAAGAGAGAGAGTGAGAGAGAGTTAAATATCTCTCTCTCTATATATATATATATATATATATATATATATATATATATATATAGGATGACTGAATATTACTTTGAGTTTTTTCAGGCTAATGGTCAGTCCATACAACAAACGCAGTAGCAGCAGCTGAAATACGGTCCATCAGTCTCTCTCTCTCTCTCTCTATATATATATATATATATATATATATATATATATATATATATATATATATATATATATATATATATATATATATATATATATATATATATCCGAATGTAATGAGAACGAAAAAATATATTAACGTTCACTGCATTAATTCAAAAAAGAGGGCTCAATACCGATAGTAGAGCAATAATTATTTATTATAATTTTTTTCATATAGACAAAAACAATTTACTCACTACAAAGATGCAACTTCGTTTCAGTGCATTTAATTTTCCTTTTCTCTTTATTCATATATATATATATATATATATATATATATGAATAAAGAAAAAAAGGAAAACTTTTCTTTACATAAGATTTTCGTCCACTGAGGGACTTTATCAAGCTACTTTCATAAATCCCACCTTCGGACGAAATGCGTTGGTATAAAAAAAAAAGTTTTCCTTTTGTCTTTATTTAAATTGTCTTTCCGCAGATAAATTTTATTTATACCTTAATTTACACACATACTTATATATATATATATATATATATATATATATATATATATATAGACACATTGGCTGTTGAGGCTAAATTTGACAGTTTAATGTTTTTTTTTTTTTTTTTCAAATTAATTTCGAATATCTGTAAACACTGAACTGCGTTGTGAAACCTAATCACTACAGCTTTAGAGTGTCAAAATTAACTGTCATGGACGAGTGGAAGTGACTATTGGAAAAGGGTAACCAGCATAATGATGATTCGTGCCGTCTATCAAAATGGTGCAATCATGACAGCTGCTCAATGTCTTGAACACCATGAAAACAAGACGTGTAGTGGAGAGCAGTAAAGGAGACTACCGTACTGTGGCTTCTAGGAAATATGGCAGTAGGCATTTTACTTGTCTCCGTTCACCAGAATACATCCAACAATTGTAGGAAAAAGTTATGTAAGATCCAGGTTAACTTTGGTGCGGGAAATAGGTGTTGGAATTTCCACCATGAAGCTGTCCTTGAATGAGGTGCTCCGGTACTAGTCATACAAGAGGTGTAATGGTCAACTCCTTACAGAAATGGCTTGAGAAACCTGTCCGACAAAAGCAAAGAAACTTCTAAACAAAGTAAAACATCCTGTTGAACGAGAGACTAGTTCTCTGATGAAAAGTATTTTGCCAGGAACAGCTGCACAACACCCGAAACAACAGATGGCTTGCCTACAATTTAAAATGACGTTCCTTGTGTCATAAAGATTAAGTTTCCCCAAACTCTGATAGTTTTTTTTTTTTTTTTTAGGTGGGGGTGTCTCTAGGGAGGGTGGTGTCATGACATCTCACATATTTGAACAGAGTCTTAGGCTCAATTCGGGTGATAATGGTGAGTTGCTGAACACCATAGTCAAACGTTGGATGGAGAGGATGGTTGCTAAAAGACCATATGTGTGGTTGCAAGATTCAGCTCCCTGTCACACCTTCAGGAAGAGTCAGAAGTGATTGTCAGATAATTTTTACGACTTCATCAACCCTAACTCCCCTGATTGTAATCTCACGGATTATTATGTGTCGGGCGCAGTTGAGAAAGACAACCACACTGCCTGTAACACCAAGGTGCAGCTGATCGATAAGATTATGGAGACGTTTGAGGCTCTCCCTAGGGTCACGGTGAAGGCTGCATATGCCAGATTCTGGAGTCGAATCGAGGCCGTGGTGGAATGTCTGCTTTGATTAAAATGTCTTTTGAAATCTGTATGCCATTTTTCTATTTTCCAAAGAATTGATTTTTTGGCTTAGATATTCACTATGTTTTCCTTTTTAAAAATTTATAAAATTTAGCCTGAATACACTATATATATATATATATATATATATATATATATATATATATATATATATATATATTTTTTAGTTTTCGGCTCTTGTTTTGAAACATGAGAACTCTTATGTAGCGTGTTGGAATCATATTTTTAAATAAATAATTATATATATATATATATATATATATATATATAGAGAGAGAGAGAGAGAGAGGGAGGGAGGGAGGAGGAGGCACGGTGGAGTAATGGATAGCGGCTTGGATTGACGAATCGCAGAGCCGAGTTCGAATTCCACTCGAGTCCATTACATTCACTTACGTGCTAATATCCTTGGGAAAGGTATGAATTCTCTTCTTCTCCCTCCAGCTATGGGTAAAATACCAGGACAGACACGGTTCTATAGCCTTGGATGGCAACTTGTCTAGGAGAAGGACAACTCTGAATTCAAAACCTTCGGAGGGTCGTTTGGGGACCTTGTGGCTCGTAGTGCACCAGGTCTCTGTATTCGACCCTTCAAAAAGTGTGGATGGTCCTGCACGAAACCTTCACCACTATAATCAAATCTCATGTGCCGTTGTCGGTCTGTCGGTTTCCTAGGAACTGATCTGCTTGGCCTTCATACGTCGAATTCGACGGGAGAAACACCCTTATATATAATCCATCTTAATGAAAAGCCCTTTATAAGTGCACGGGGAAATTGTAGGGAGCATAGTAATAGAAAGTACACTTGTACTTAGAATTAGAAAGAAACAGTGGGAATTTCTAGGATATATAAAGAGGAAAGAAGGCCTAGAGAAAGTGACACTCGCAGAACAGACTGAAGCTAAAGGTATTGGAGGGAAACATTGAGTATTGATTAGAGCTACAAAGAATAGCATACAATAAGTATAGTGCACGTTATTAAAGTATACGCCCCATCGAATAAGATGAAGTTCTAAAAATGAAACCGATGATGGTGCTAATTAGTTAATGATCATCAACATACAAGAAAATGATTGCATCTAATTCATTTCCATCTATATTCTCCATTGAATATTTCAAATCTTGAGTCATTAATTCGGAATTTCTCTCTGTTAATCCTCTCAGAGACTTCTTTCTGTCTCCCATCAACATGGCTAATGCTAACCTCCAGCAGAGTGAAACGTCGCACCTTCTCCTGCTAACATTCTTTGCTGACATGAAATGAAAAGATTATATTGAATCAATTGCTAGGTCTGCTGTGAGGAAAGTTGGTTCACTGAATAGTGCAAGAAAATTCTTCTCTTTAGAATGTATCTTACATATTTATAAGTCTATCGATCGTCCATGCTTTGAATATTGCTGCCACATATGACCCGGTGCTCCTGCAATATATTTAGAGATTCTTGATAAAATCCAAAGAAGAATCTGACCTGGCATGCCGGCTTCAGTTATTTTCCCACCGCCATAATGTGTCCTCGCTATGTCTGTTCTATAAACACTTTAATTGTAATTGTTCTGATGAACCTACTGTTATGGTAATCAGAATTTATGAATTTAATTGCAGTACTAAATTGGCAACAAGCTCTCATCAACTTGCAGCTAAATTGGCTAGATGCAACCGCAAGTTCTATGCTGAAAGTTTCTTCTCTCACACTCCTCTCTTGTTGAACTCTCTTCCTGCTCCATGCTTTCCAGCCAACTTTGACCGTCAAAAATTTAAATGAAATTTCGATCATTATTCACTGTCGTCTTGATTCCTCTTCTTTTATTTTTTCGATCCTTTTTCTCTTTTTTCTTATTCTTTCGCAATCAGCAACCCCTTGCGTATTAGCGGCTTTATTCCTTTGCTTGGCGTGAAATGATTAAAAATAATAATGATTTGTCATGGAAAGCATCTTTCATTATCTTTGACCGATATTCATTAATAACCTTGTATCCAGTTCTTCTATATGTCAACCTCTAAGACTAGATTTCTCACTGCTGATTCCAATTTCATGTACATTTTATATTTATGGGTTCCCTGCAAGTAAGATATTTCAGCGGACAAGAGCATCACAGCCGAAATGTGTTGCCAGTGTAGAGATTCTTTCTAATTTCATCCTGGTTTCCACCTTTCAAGAATTCTAATCTCCAGAACTGTTTAGATTCCGTTTCGTTTATTTTCGGATGTTCACATAAAACCACAATCTCCGGACTCCTTTGTTTTTCGGAATTCTTATCTGTCATTAATACTTTGGGGGCCTCTTTAATTATCCATCAAATCATTAATATCTTTGAGGGTTTCTATCAAATGGAGGAGAAAGATCTCTCTTACACACACACACACGCATTGATAGATATTCCAAGCGCGGAAAACTTTGCGTTGAAATTTTACTTCCGAGGTTTCATAATTCACGTGTTCCACAATGTGCATTCGTGTATACTAAATTGAAACTTGGATGAGAAGGGGAGAATGGCAGATCGACAAGGAGAAAGAGAAAGGGGGAGAAATTGGTAAAGGGGGAAGTGCAAAAAGAAAGGGAATTGGAGTAGTAGAGAAAGAGGAATTGAGAGAAACGCACCTAAGTAAGGAAAGAAGGGGAGGCTGAGAAGGAAAGAAAATCAGCGAGAAAAGAAGAGAAAGAGAGAGAGGAAGATAAATAAAAAGAACGGAGTGAAATAGAAAAGAAAGACAGTGAGAAAAGAAAGAAAGAAAGAAAGAAAGAAAGAAAGAAAGAAAGAAAGAAAGAAGTGCGATCGTGTGAGAGTGGGAAAGGGGTCACTGCGAGAAGAGAATGATAGATAAATAGAGACAGAGAGAAAAAAAGATAGAGAGAGATGCATAGAAGGAGTGATAGTAGAAGAAAGAGAGAAAGAAAGAAAAGATAGAGAAATAGGAAGAGGGAATAATGGAGACAGTGAAATGGTGAGGGAGTGGAAAAGGGAAGAAAATGAGAAGAGAGAGAGAGAAAGAGATAGAGAGAGAGAGAGAGGAAGAGAAAGGGTAAAGGGATCACAGTGAAAAAAGATAGAATGATGAAGAGAAATAAAAAGAGAAAAAGGGAGAAAAGCGGGAAAGAAAGAAAGAAAGAAAGAAAGAAAGAAAGAAAGAAAGAAGGGAGCGGGGGATGGAAAGGGAACAAAACAAGAAGAGAGAGAGATAGGAAGAAAAACTCAAGGAGGAAAGATAGAAGAAGAAAGAGATAAACAAATAAGAAGGAAGAATGTAGTGAGATAGTGAAAGAAAGGGAATAAAAGAAGAACAGTGAGAGAGAGAGAGAGAGAGGAGAGAAAGAGAAACTGGGAGGGGAGGCAAAGGGGAAAAGAAAGGGAATAAATATAGACCGAAGAAAGATGGTAAGTAGTGAGAGAGAGAGAGAGAGAGAGAGGGGGGGAGAATGATGGCCAAAAGTTGTAAGGAGAAGAGCGAGAAAGTCAAAGTTGGGAGAAGAGAGAAAAGGAGATAGACAGAAACAGAGAGAGAAGGAAGATAAAATGAAAGGAAGAGAGAACAAGAGAATAATGAGAGAGAGATAGTGACAGTAAGAGAGAGAATGAGATTAAGCGCGGGAAGGGGAGAGAGAGAGAGAGAGGGAGAAAGAGAGAAGATTTAACTAACAGGAAAAAACAGGTGACAAAATGCTCGCGAGAATGGCCAGTAAAGAAAGAAAAACAGCTTTTAATATTGACATAGGTTATCTATTCAGGAGCGGCATACCTAAAATGAATGCTTTTCTATATTTACATATAAATATATTTTTATCCTAGATAGATAGATAGATAGATAGATAGATAGCTCGAGAGAGAGAAAGAGAGAGAGAGTGATAGAAAGAGAGAGGCAAACATAAACTGTTAGCTTCCATATTTACTTCTTTTTCTCATAACTTCGGACAGCTTACCGAAATGAGGAAGTAAAATAGTTAACAATTTTCGGTAACGTTGATCAAAAGAATTTTCATATTAAATATTGCCATCCAAGGCTATAGAACCCAGTCTGTCCTGCTATTTACCCATAGCTGGAGGAAGAAGAAGAGGATTCTCACCGTTCCCAAGGGTATTAGAACGTAAGTGAATGCAATGGATTCGACTGGAATTCGAACTCGGCTCTCCGATTCCTCGATGCATACTTTGGTAGTGTCAATCAGTTAGTTATGTGCCATGTGTGATATTTCCAGGCAGATTTTTTCCTGCAGTAGGTTGCCATTTCCTTTTGCGGTAGACCAGTTGCCCATCCAAGGCTATATAACCCGGTCTGTCCTGCTATTTACCCATAGCTGGCGGGAGAAGAAGAGGATTCATACCTTTCCCAAAGGTATTAGCACGTAAGTGAATGTAATGGATTCGAATGGAATTCGAACTCGGCTCTCCGATTCCTCAATCCGAGCCTCCTATTATATAAATGTTACGTAATTGAATGACAAGGTCCAAAAGATTCTCTGTAACGCGTTTTGTCCTCAAAATGACTTCATCAGACGAGAGTGATTTTCTTATGGATGGAATAAATTTTTTTAAATCGATTTCACTCCAAGCAAAGCAGTAAAACTATTTAGACTCAAGGGGTTACTGGGTATAGACGAATTAGTAACATAAACATTACTAATGGTCAGGAAAAGAAAGCAATAATCAGAAAGACAGAAGATAGCGATTGGCATTGTATTTACATTTTTACAGATTAAAGTTGGCTGGAAAGCATGTAACCGGAAGCTTATATTAAGAGAGACGTGCTCGAAAAGAAAATGTTAGCATACAATTGACGGCTTCATCTAACGAGCTCAAGTGCAAATTAATGAGATCTCGACGCCAGCCTAGTACTGCTCTTAAATTCAAAAAGTCTAGGTACCATAGCGAAGAGCCGTATTTTTTTCTGCTATGTACAGAAAATGAGGCACAAGGCCAAAATGGGAAATGGGGAAAGGGTGGCCTTCATCTGTCTTAATTTTAAACTTAGCTAGCCATAAACACTGACCCAAACATACCACAGTATTCCTAATACCAAAACAACGCATTCTTACCTACCTTTCTTACTATATCCGCCATAATACCTCATTGTCTCCATGAACGTCCTAAATAGTCCCCTTATGTACAATTCATTGTCTGTGGTGGTGGTGGGGGGGATAAAACAACAATTACCGCAAAAGTATTTATAGAAAAAAGACATAGAAAGGCAGCCTTTGAACTGTAGTATATATATATATATATATATATATATATATATATATATATATATATATATATGTGTAAAATAGCAGGACAGACTGGGTTCTATAGCTTTGGATGGCAACTGGTCTAGGAGAAGGACAACTCTGAATTCAAAACCTGCGGAGGGTCGTTTGGGGACCTCGTGGCATTCGGTGCACCAGGTCTCTGTATTCGTCCCTTCAAAAAGTGTAGATGGTCCTGCACGAGGCCTTCACCACTATAATCAAATCTCATGTGCCGGTGTTGGGCTGTCGGTTTCCTGGAAACTCATCTGCTTGACCCTCATACGTCGAATTCGTCTATATATATATATATATATATATATATATATATATATATATATATATATATATACTTGGGTTGATGTGTAAATGTGCGGTTAGCGCATTCAGAGTGATGGCCCTTAAGCCTTTACTTAAGGTATCAGTCTAAGACAAGTAGTAAGCAAAAGTATGGCCCGATGGTTGGATGTGACACTCCTGATGATTTTAAGTTGACAGCCAATGCACACCAAATATTTTTGCCAATGCCCATTATGAAATACACACGCACACATACATACACACAAGCATATATATATATATATATATATATATATATATATATATATATATATATATATATATACATAATTATTTTTTCAAAATATGATTCCATCGCTACATAAGAGTTCTCATGCTTCAAAAACAGAAGCCAAAAAACCCAGCTCTATTTCATCCTCAAGCGAATTTTGGAATAGATATTTATTCGTACAATTTTGTACAAATTGTGGCACAAGGTCAAAATGGGGATGGGGGATAAGGTCGGTCTTCTTCTCTCTCAACTGTAAACTTAGTTAGCTACAAACACTGACCCAAACATACCACAGTATTCCTAATACCAAAATAACGCATTCTTACCTACCTTTCTTAATATATATCGTTCTCCAACATCCGTGGCATTAGGACAAACTTCTGCAGTCTGGAATCTTTCCTCACTGCAAACGGCCCGGATATACTGGCTCTCTGTGAGACAAACCTTGTCTCATCTATCCCCTCTTCTGATCTCTCGATCCCCGGCTATCTTCCTCTCCTCCGAAAAGACTCTCTAACCCACATGCACGGTCTTGGCGTCTACGTCAAGGAACATCTCCCTCTGGCCAGATAGTCCTCTCTCGAATCGCCAGACCAGTCATACATGTGTCTCCGACTCTCTCTCCTCAACGCGGTAAGCTATCTCTTCTTCCTTTACCGCTCTCCATCCTCTCAAGACTGTGAGATACTCGATAGCATTTCTGAAAGCACAGACAAGGCTCTCTCCCTCCACACGTTTGCTCACATTTTTGTGTTTGGTGACTTTAACGCCCATCACACCTTGTGGCTTAAGAATGCTACTATTGACCATGCATGCATTCAAACGCTTAATTTCTCAATCTCTCATTCCCTCACACAGATAGTTAACTTCCCCACTCGTTTTGCCTTCAACCGGGAAGGTAAAGCCTCTCTTCTCGACCTGTGCTTTACCTCCATCCCCGAATCCTGAAGCGCCTCCCACATCTGCCCTCTTGGTAACTCTGATCATGCAGTAGTATCTGCTACATCTCCTTCAACTCCACCCCCTATAAAGAACCTCCTACCACTAGAACTTCTAGAAGTTTTACTATCAACGAGCTGACTGGGACGCGTTCCGTGATTTCCTCTGCGATGTCCCCTAGGATGGAGTCTTTAAGCTCCCCGTCCAAGAATGTGCTTCTGAGGTCTCTTCCTGGGTTAAAGCTGGAATCGACGCTTTCATCCCATCAAGGAAATATAGGGTCAAGTCGCGCTCCTCCCCCTGGTTCTCCGCTGCTTGCTCAGCCGCCATCGCCCATAGGAACCACTACTTCCACCTATTCCGTAGCGACATGTCTGACTGCAATAGACGTCTCTTTGCCTCCACCCGTAACGAATGTAAGCGTGTCTTCAACGATGCTAAGTCACTATTTGCGGCTCGGACGAAGGAACGTATTGCATCTTGCAAAATTGGCTCCAAAGATTATTGGCGTCTCTGCAAGAGCGTATTGAACAATTCCAAACCCTCTATACCTCCTTTATTCAACCAGTTCGAAGTCCTGACCTCCTTTACCGACAAGGCTGAATGCTTTGCTCGGAAATTTTCATTCAACTCGACGCTCGACTCTTCCGGTGTACCCATCGACTTCCCTCTTAGAACTGAGGTCATATTGAGTGAGTTAAAAATAACCCCCATCTTTGGTACTGGGCGTTATCTCCAATTTAGACCCCAACAAGGCTAGTGGTGGAGACGGGATACCAGCCATTGTCTTGAAGAAATGCGCGCCTGAACTGGCGCCCGCCCTTTCTAAACTTTACAACTACTGCCTCAAGGAATCTTGTTTTCCTGACTGCTGGAAGTCCTTTTCGGTCGTTCCTGTCTTCAAGAACTCCGGCGGCCCCTCTGACCTTTCCAACCTCCGTCCTATCAGTCTCCTCCTCTTCGGCAAAGTCTTCGAAGCCCTAATCACCTCACATCCCATAATCTGCTCTCAGACAAGCAATATGGTTTCCGCTTTACCCGATCTACAACTGATGTGCTTATGGCCATCAATGAAACAGTCTACCGAGCTCTTCAAAATAACGGGGAAGCCCGTACCGTGGCACTAGACATCTCCAAAGCATTTGATAGGGTTTGGCATGCCGGCCTTCTTCGCAAGCTCCAGGGTTATGGCATTACGAGTCGATTATATAACCTAATACAATCATTCCTGTCAAACCGTGAATTGAAGGTCGTTCTCAACGGATTCTCCTCCAGTTTCTATCCCACGAAAGCAGGTGTTCCTCAAGGCTTCATCCTAGGCCCCACTCTATTCCTTATCTACATAAATGACCTTCCTGACGCCATAACTTCCCAAGTTGGCATCTACGCGGATGACACTACAATTTATTCCTGCCTCAAAAACAAATCTAGTCTCATTGACAAAACTCACCTGGCCGTGCGTCTCGAAAAGGACCTCCAATCGATTGTGAACTGTGGCAAGAATTGGCTGGTCAACTTCAACGCTTCTAAGGCAAAACTGCTCTCTATTAATCACCACAGAGATCCTTCCTTGCCCTCCATTAGAATGTCTGACGCTCAACTTCTCGAGAGCAACTCTCTGCGGCTTCTCGGTCTCACGTTGACTGCTGACCTGAGATGGAATAAATACATTGAGTCAATTGCTTCGTCCACCGCGAGGAAAGTTGGCTCCCTGAGCCGCGCCAGGAAGTTTTTCTCCCCGGAGTCGATCCTCCAGATCTACAAATCAACAATTCGCCCTTGCATGGAGTATTGCTGCCATATATGGTCTGGTGCCCCTTCTGTTTGCCTCGGGGTTCTTGATAGTCTCCAGAGGCGGATATGCAATGTAGTTGGCCCTGCTCTGGCGTCTCGTCTACAGTCACTTTCTCACAGACGTGCCGTCGCCTTTCTCTGCCTGTTCTACAAATACTTTCATGGAAATTGCTCCGAGGAGCTGCAT